GACACATGCTATAGTTGACTGCGCTTATAATGAGTCTTTTCAAGCTGAAAATCGTTTTTTTTCTTCGCAAAACCTGGTGAGAAAGTGTGGTGCTTTCCATTGAAGTGGGATAAACATCCACTGAGGAAACTAGGGAGCCCAGGTTGTTACGGGCACTATTTGATCACTATTGCGCTATTACAACCGAGAAATCAAATATCTTTCATCAAAACGTCGCCTACAAAAGCATCTAGTGCTACCGATCAAGATCCCGACACCAAAGTTTGGTGTCTACTCTAAGAAGCAATGTCGTACTCGTAATCAGGCCCTTTTGAAGTCTAGTGATAGCAACGTTTTGAAATAGCAACATTTTCTGCTTTTTTAACCCTGAGGCTGCAGCACAATTTCACGCAATGTGTTTGGGAAAGCATTTGGGAAAGCACTTGTAGAAGAAATTTTCGATCTGAAGAAAGTAAAAAAACAGCTGCTCTTCACATTCATGTAAATGCTGTCCAGTTGAATAGTTGAAAGCGAGACGTTGTAAGCGTTGTCTGTTGAATTTACGTCATTTCTTGCATATGCCAAACATATGGCACTACTGTTTTGAGGCTAAAGAAAACGTGCGGAACTTGCGCAAGAAGTTTCAGAACATCCCTGATCACTGCAGTGCATATACAAGCGCATATTCTAGTGGTTCTAGCGTGAGATACAGCGTTACACGTGGGTCCATTGCGGACTTAAGAATTATTAAGCGCGGCTTGAGTTAGGGCGCCTTGCCTGCTAGTGCTGACTTTCGCATACAGTCTCCTTTTCAACTCTCCCGCAGCTGTTAGTCGCATTCTTCTCAGTAAGTCCAACAAGAAATAACGGGAATTACCGAAACGCACTATCTCAGATCCAAGCTCACCTTCTACCACCTTTGGGTCATGCATTGCACGTGACATTTTACAATCCACAGCATCATAAGACAGTAGTAGAAAGGAGTTCTGGAAAGGAAACAACGGAATTTCCAAACATTGCAGAGTTTTTCACTCCAAATTTTTAGAACAAAGCTTATTCAACCATCACTAGATGAATAAAAATTGCACTGTTAAAAATAGGAAGACGAGAAAAGTGAAATACCAAAGGAACGTACAACAATCTCAATTTCGTAGGTATGCGTTCGAGCCTGTAAACAAAGCTCACTCAACATAGCAAACTTCCAACTCACCAGAGATTCACGACGCTTTACGACCGGTATAGCCCAATTCGTTGCCGACGAAGAGGCGAATCAGGCGGGATCAGTTTGGCGCGGTGCCGAACCCGTTCTCCACTGGTTGTTGAAGAGAGCTAGTGCCAATACTGTATCATATAGTTCGTGTTGCTCGTCTTCACCAGTAGTTGTCGCATACGCCCAACAAGTGGCAAAAGCGTGGCTCACACTTTAAAGAGCTTGACACGCATCCAGGCGTCCGCATGCCGCAACTGCAAGGGCATAATGACCGACAAGAAATTGCCGGGCATGCGGCGGCGATGGTTTTCGGGAAACATCGTGCAAGTGTTGTCCAATGGAGATCGGTGTCTTTATTCCTTGTGGCTTGGCGGCGCTTTCGTTTGACATTTTTTCTCGCTCCTCATTCACTTATCACATGTTCTAACAATTCTGAGCCCTACAACGTGCGAAAGCGCACTGCCTTTGAACATGAAAATAAGCTTAGCATATTTGTGTACTCACTAGGAATAGGTGCTCATCAAAGCTAAATACTGCGTGGATATAGCCTAGAAAATGAACTGAATTCGTATGGAGAGACGCAATCTGAGCTGTCATACAGATTCCACAAGTGGGATGGGGCGCCAACACGCGGAAGGACCATAGAAATGGTTTTCTAAAAAACTTTTTGTCACTGTAGAAATAAAGCCGGTAATGTGTTTTGGATAAAACCCTGTTCGAAGACTAAAGTCGAGAGAATTTGTAGTTTCTAGCCACGCACAGAACCATTCCGAGGTTCCCCCGTCCAAGTATGAGATAGTTTCCAGCAAGATTTCAAGCACTGGCAAGAAGTTTTCCCCTATTTCCTTTTTCGAATCGATCCTCACGTTTTTTGTCGCACTACTCGAGCTGCCGTAAATGATACGTAAAACTAGGTTTCAAGATGATTGACATTCTTATAAGGGAGTGGTCGGGGCTATCGACAGGTCCGGTGGCCACATTACATCACGAGCGTGACGGAGGCGCATTTTTTTTCTGCTCTTCGGTAGCTGTTTATATCCACGCCTATTTTTTCAAAAAAACTTATTACATCCAAGATATGATAGCGCGAATTTTCCAGAGTAAGTAGTGACCAGTTAGTTGATTCCTACCAAGGTGCCGGGCCGTTTTGTGGAAACATATGAATTCTCGCTGCTTTTTTGAGGCCCTGTGAACTTTTGTGAGACTCACAGGATGTACCTCTTCCGCAGCTTGAAAACACGTGGAGAAAGCGTTGGACAACGTAAGACAACATTTCCTCCCCGCCCCCAGTGCACAATGCAACGCCCAATTTTCATTCCTGAAGGATTGCTATTGGGTTGTTCCGCTGCGCTTAACATTTCGAATAGTGAGAATGAAGTAACGAGGGGAAGAGCGAGTAGGGACATCGTCTGAACTGGTGAGGACTCATCCAACCATGCCCTCTCTTATCCTTATGCATGTACGAGCAGGGTTCGGCAGGTTCTATACAGGTCATTACGGATGAGTTTTTTTTTGCTTTTCTCCTCACTACTGAATCAATTTACTTCTTATTTCCACCTTGTCGTTAGTAACTTTGAATACATTAACGGAGGAGAGATGTTGAAGTAAAAATACAGACCTTACAGCTAGGTGCGGTTCCAAGCATTACATGATAGTTGCTTTATAATGTCCGGCTTTAAGGATTTGCGGAATGAACTACCGCGGGGGCCCTAACGGTTTGGATGTCAACATGCTGCTTACGGGTATCTCTCCCTCAATTCATCTACCTACCCGTTGCTTGAATTCACTCGTATTCCTTTTTCCTGAGCTGCTCCGAATGCATTTTGAGAGTTTTTATCCACGGCTGCGGCCACTAAGGCGAACGCCCCCCCTGCGGGCGGAGCTCGGTCACCTTGTGTGTGCTCTGCAAATGCTGGCCCATGCCACGTCTTTTCCAAGCACAATCAGTTCCCTAAAAGTGAATTTACACGAAACCTCAAATTTCAGGCGGTCATACAGACGCACAGACAAACAAGTTCTGGTTCATATATAGAGAGATTAGCGCAACTGAATAGATTGTTGGAGTCCTGGCTCGTAGTCCATTTTTTTTGCTCAATCGTTTACAACAAATAAAACACTCTATATTTCATCATCCGTAAAATGAAACAAAGCGGTAAAGAGATCGTTGTGGGTCGTAGTGAAATGGCCGTTGAACACATCACGATGAGAGACCGAATAGATTACGAGTTGTCCACGAGGGTACTTCTGTCTCAGACCACTCGCATCCGACTCCGTCGGTTGTCGACATTATTGCTATTAGGCGATGAACAGGTCTTGCACATAAGGATCATTCGGAAACAGAGCTCCTGAAATGAAACAGTTTTCGTATGACCATGTGGAGAAACGTTTCACAGCAGGCCTCTGGCAAATGTACACCTCCTAAATCGAGTCTCCCTCCCAAACCTCCCTCTCCCCTTCTGAGCTCTCCAGTCATATTGGAGTCACCTCGAATAACGCGAGACTCTCTGGTGGGAGTAAGCATTGCCTCAGCAGCAACTATAAACGATATAGATTACCCCTTTCTGATTGACCCTAGAAAGCGTATGTGAGCCCATACTGGGAAGGAATTCTAGGGTACCTACTGGTTTACTTTCTTCTAGCCGCTCCACGCTTATTGTGCGGATGAAGACAAAGAATTATTGTGCCTTTCTAACTGGTGCTTCTCTCGAGAGTAATAACTGAGTAAGAGTGACGACCAGCTGAGAAAAGCATGCATTGGGGTCCCCGGTATCCGCCCCTACGACCATTGCGAACTGCCTATCCTCTGAGCTAAGCCAGTGCCTTGTCTCATGTTTGCTTGAAGAAGCTAGCTCCAGCTGTTTTAGCCTAGGAGGAGAGGAGTGACACCCAAAGCACCGATTAGGAGATTCGGCTAACGGCGATTAGAGTTTGACATAACGCCCGAGGGTCAAGTTAGCCATAATTTGCCGCCGCGCGGCAATTAGTTAATTTGCGTTAGGCTGTCGATTGGAGCATGGGATTTCATGTAGACTACGACATCCTAAGCAATTATGGCTACTTACGGTTACACATTTTCTACTGTCACCATCCACGACCTAGAAACATCGTCGTTTGCGGGCGCCACGTCGCACGCCACGCCCGCTCGCGCGGCGAATTGCGATTGTCTTGTCACATACCTCACTCCCTTCACTGATGACGCCAGAAATGCTATGCCACCACCTAATCAAGGGCCCCTCAGTGTAACTTGCGTACCTCAGCCTTGAATATGTGGGAACAATTAAAAATGTTCGATAAGCAGGAACCCTCTGGAACTCACATGTCTAACTCTTCCGGAATAAACAATCAATGAAATAGTCGGCCAGATGGCTGGGCCGAAAATGTTTAGCAGAGAATGAATAATGGCTAAATTGGAATTTGCTGAATGGTCGTCGACTCTTGGAAGAACAATGAGAAGACAGAATATGATGTCGCAGATCAAATGAATAATTTGGTAGAGGAGTCGAGTCTTTGGCGTCGTTTCTGTCGTTTCGTGCTTTTCTTCGTCATATATGTGCCTGAAAAGGTTTACTAGACGTTCGCCATTATAAAAAAGCATGTGGTAGGAGTACTTCTGGAAATAGCTGTACGAAATGTGGATTCTTCTATCTTGAAGGAGCGGTCCGCGATGACCTATGAAAATGCAAGAGGTTATGTGGGAAGGTAGTGCGGTCCGGAGTGGACAACCCTGTGCCAGTTTCGCGGCGGAAAGTTGTACGGTAAAGGGATTAAGGCGCAAAGTTGCTTCAGTGGTACATCCCTTTTACTCCGCCTCCAAAGTCAGCCTTTCAGCCGAAAGTAATGCACCCGGGCAAGTATCATGGATTGGACGCATTTACCTCTACAGTTGTTTGAGGCTAGAGGAGGCCTGACGAATGCGTTTCCAACGTTCCCTTTGGCATTTTCTCTTCATAGATGGTTCACTTGGCGAATTTTCTTCCACATTTCTGCAAAATCACCTAGGCTTTTATCGCGCGACCGTGCCTTTGAGAGTCTTCCAGCAGGATTGTGAAGACCGTAACTATTGTAATAAAATGCCTATCATTGATGGGCT